ATGTCATATATACGTGTGAGTATCAGCATATCTACTGTCAAATCCTGTTGCTACTAGGGCAACGTAAGGTAGCCTATAATTACCAGTTGGCAAGGCTAATGCATAATGCGGTTGGTATTACAAGTACGACGTAGTCACATTTTATCCAAGAGAATGTTGACCTGATCTCGGCGTTGCGAGGGCAAAAGGACCAACCATCCCTCATAGGAGCAAAGATGGTGATTTTACGCAGTGAAACCAGGGGAGAAGTTGTCCGTTTTGACGATAATTTATTTGCTCGGTTTTCGTCTTTCAGCTGAACTATGAATATAGGTAGAATCCTCCTAGTCCAGCCATGGTTCTAACCTACATTTAATGTATTGTTTTGTATTGAGTGAGTGTTGTGTAAGCCTTGCCTACTTGTTGCTTCTTTGTCATCGGAACCCGCATCCGTGTTTTCCATTAATGCTAACCTACACGTAGAACTTGTTAAATTTATATGCTTGCCTAGACCAGTTATTAAATCGGCTATATTTCCCTATTACCCCCAGATCTTAATGCTAGATCTATACGTATATTGCTGCGTAGATGGCGTTGCAATCGATATTGAGAGCTAATCTACACGTACGTGTATCATTATCCATAGACACCCAGACTAGGTACTTACCTAACCTATAAATACTCGTTAGGTATGCGTAAGTCTATTATGTACTTGCATAGACCGCGTATGCCAACCTCAATCCGCTGGTTAATAGAGGTAGACTGCCTACTAACTGTAAACTCGGCGTCAGGATGCATCTTATACCTCCTTGTAGGTGCCGACAAGATTCCCCATGGTAATCGGTGACTTGGTATTTCTGTTGTCAACTGAGCTAACAAGAACACATACCCCGCACGTGTCGATCACTTAGTCGGCATCCTTTTAGACCTGCACTGGTCATCTGACTGGGGGTTGATATAGGGTACTACTTACCTAACCCCCAGGGCCCAAGGTAGCTAAATATAGTAGAACAATCTGCCGACTTAATATCCAAGACCCCCCCAAAAAAAACCACGAGGAATGGCTACTATCACCGGGCAAAACGCAAAACTCACCGGACGGTCCATGGCGGCTCTAGTAGCTATCTAGTCCGGCGACACGGGATCAACCTTGGAAAGGATGCGGCGACTCACTTCAACCCAATGCGGAGTGCATACAGAGAACCCTCCTTGCCGATCTGTTAAAGTAGCACGGATTCATACCCTTGTCATCAAAAGCATTTTTAGGTAGGCGGGCTATGTATGTAGCCGCCCACCCGACAGAGTTGGATTACGAGTAGATTTATATCTACGTCTACTTACTTTACTACGTCCTATGCTGTGCTGGGGGGGGGGGGGGGGGGGAGACCGGTGGTTCAAGATAAAAACACGTATTTGAGGCCGGTCGATGAAGCCTCTCGTCTGAGGTTACTTTGACTGGAAAAGACCCCTATTCCCCTGTTCCTAGGTACGTACCTCAATATCGTGTGCGCTGGGCTGGGCGCTCGACCTTTTTAGTTTGCGCCACTGATACCGGTGAACTGCGGGTCGGCACTGAAGAAACATTTCCGTCATTCTAGACTACATATTAACCTAGTAATTACTTACGTACGTCTACCTGGTATGCGCCATGCATACACATGTATACCGACCGTGAGGCATGTGGCGGGCCTATTATGCTTTTCCCCCGCATAGCTGAACAACCATTTTCTCAAAGTTATAACATAACGTGACTTGACCATTGCAGGTGACCCCTTTTTTCTTATTTTTTTCTTTTCAAGGCCGGGATATCTTCTTCCAATCTACCTGCCGGTTTGAGAATTGGACGTGCTCAAAAAGGGAGCCGGGAACCGGCAAAGACTGTACGGTCCGGGGAAGTGTTTACCGAGCAGTTCGGCCTTCAATCCCGAGCCTTCGACTAGGCCTCAAATTGTCTCATCTCAATTATATACAAATGGAACCAACTTGGGCCAGCCCTAGCCATTCTAACTAATAGTCTTTTTGCTTTTTATGTATGGCAAACGGATTGTAGTGAACAGGCAAGGCGAGTCTTGGGGGGGGAGCAGCACCACTTTAGCTCCCGGGGGATGTGGGGAAACGAAACTCGGCTCTCGAACGCAGTGCGACAGTTCTGGCCCGGAGACGAAGAAGATCCCGGTTGGTGAAAAGGCACCTGCTCTCCTGGGACCGAGTAAAAAGGTGGGCAGGAGAAGTGGATGGCACGTGGAACCACTGTAGGCCCACGATAATATGTCGCAGAGGAATCATTATGCATTCCAGGCTCGAATATAATATCTCACTTCCCATTGCAGATACTTATGCCCTCCCTCCCATAACCTTTGGGCATCATCTTATGCGCATTGCTGGCCTTCCCTCACTTCAAATGGCTATATATTTCCCCTTTCTTACTCTAATATCATGGCTTGTGACCCTTGTTCATCCTGCGTCGGCTCGCAGCTGCTGGAGGAAAACAACTTGTACTGGGGCCGAGGGACCTGCTTTCCCCGGCGACTGGGACGCCAACAACTTCGCCCCTGAATCGCGGAACGTAGCCCCTGTTGCCGTCTACGATCTGTCCAGTGGCCAAGAAATTGCTACCTGGCCGTCGACCTTTGCCATCAACAGCAGCAACCAGACAGACGACGTATATCTGGACTTTGGTAAAGAGGTCGGCGGCATCGTCACGATCGAATACACCGTATCTTCCGTCAGTGAAGACGGTGCCCTCGGTCTCGCCTTTTCCGAGGCAAAGAACTGGGTAGGTCGAAACTCGGACTCCAGCAACGGCAACTATGCACGGCCCGACGGCGCCATCTACGACGCAATCGCGTCCGAGGGCAATTTCACATACGCCATGCCGCTGGAGAATCTCCGGGGCGGGTTTCGGTACTTGACGTTATTCCTGCTGGGCGAGGACACGTCCGTCGACGTGACCGACGTGAGACTGGAGCTCGCGTTCCAGCCGACGTGGTCTGATTTACGAGCATATCAGGGATATTTCCATAGTAGCGACGACATGCTGAATAAGATTTGGTATTCTGGGGCCTATACGCTGCAGCTGAACGCGGTTCCGCCGACGACCGGTAGGGCTTGGCCGTCGCCCGATACTGCGTGGCAGAATACCGGGGTTCTCGGACCGGGCGATACGATTAATGTTGACGGCGCCAAGCGCGATAGGACCGTGTGGCCGGGTGATATGGGCGTAGCTGCGCCGGCGTCGTTTTACAGCACGGGGGACTTGGAGTATGCATCCCCATATTTTCGTTGCTTTCATTCCCACTGGCTAATTAAACCTGGGGTCTAGGAGTTTAAAGAACTCACTTCAGACTCTATATGACAACCAGGTATGTTCGACTCCCCTACATGATACCGTACGTACCGGTACTGATTTATTACTAAACCCCATGATATAGGCAGAGTCGGGGCTTTTACCCTTTGCCGGCCCACCCCTATTTGCCAGTGGAAGCGATACCTATCATCTGTAAGGGGTTCGGAATCGCGTTTAACATGTCACATGTTTTCTCACACAATAAACCTAGGTGGACCATGATCGGACTTTACAACTACATCCTCTATTCCAACGACCTCGACTTCCTACGCACTTACTGGCAAGGATACACCCGCGCAATGGACTTCATCCTATCCCAGATGGACGAAAACGTAGGCCTAGTGAACATTTCCGCATACGCCCAAGACTGGGGCCGATTCGACTCAACCGGCTACCTCGCATCAGCCCAGATGCTCACCTACCACGCATTAACCACAGGCGCCACACTAGCGACATGGATAAACGAAACAACCTCAACAAAAGACTGGCTCCAAATCGCCAACGACCTACAAACCGCCACCATCTCTAAGCTCTGGGACTCCTCAACCGGCGCCTTCAGAGACAACCACGCCCCCTACGACAAAAACCTCCACCCCCAAGACGGCAACTCCCTCGCCCTCATCACCGGTCTCGTCAAGGGGACCAGCAAAAAGGGCCAAGCAATATCCACCTTCCTAACAACAAACTGGACCCCTGATAACCTCGGCCCGGAATCCCCCGAGTTACCAGGCGAGATATCCCCCTTCATAACCTCCTTCGAGATCCAAGCCCACCTCCTGGCGCACCAGCCCCGACGCGCCCTGGACGTGATGCGCAAGAGTTGGGGCTGGTACCTCTTCAACGAAAACGGCACGCAATCCACCATGATAGAAGGATATCTGACGGACGGCACCTTTGGTTATCGTCACGACGCAGGGTACCAGGAGGATTACTCGTATACGTCGCACGCGCACGGATGGTCTACCGGGCCCGTGACTGCTCTCTCGGCTCACGTTCTCGGATTGGGTGTTTCCGGACTGGGCGGGAGGAGATGCGCTTTCGCGCCGCAGCTGGGGGATTTAGATTCCGTGCAAGGCGGGTTCGTCACGGGCTTGGGGAAGTATAGTGCTAGTGTGAGGTTCGAGATGGGGTGTAGAAGGGCGGATATTGTGGTTCCCGAGGATGTTATGGTGGATATCACGTTGCCTTCTGATGGGTGTAGGGCTGGTAATGCGTCGTTGAGTAGTAGTCCGGTCTTGGTGGATGGAAGGGATGATGTGGTGGTTAGAGTTGTGGATGGACCGGGGGGTACGAAGTTGTTTACTTTGGAATTGACCGGAGGGGGTGAGCATACTATTGTATATTGAAAGGGATATATATATATATATATATTCTGGCCTTGGAGGGAGGGAGGGAGGGTTTGCCATTTGGCCGGTGTATGGCATTTCCCATCATGTTTACATACTCACTCTACGGTGAGTCAAGAAGAGAACATCTGAGGGACACATATCAATAAGGAAGAAGCAAGTGAATACTGATCTTGATAAAGCACGAGGTGAAGATATCTAGGTTAAGTTTTAATCACAATAAGTCCACGACTAAGTTTAACCGATGATTACTAAAATGTTGGGTTATAAACCAAAATTAGCAAACACTGAAACAAACAGTTCCCAATAACGCTGTTAAATCATTGAGCGCCCCACTGGCGCAATGGCTAGCGCGTTTGACTTCTACTTAGGAGGCATCAAGAGGTTGCGAGTTCGAGTCTCGCGTGGGGTTCAAATCCTTCTTTTTGCTTTTTTCTTCCTTTTTTCCACACTTCTCGATACTTTGAATATGTTCAAACTGCCGTGTCTTGCTTTTTCGGTCGAATACACGACCCTTTTGCGCAATCAGCAGCAGCCTAACTAATGTAAAATGTTCATGTTTCGTGTTCCATGTCTATCTAGCCCAATACTATATACAAATGGCCTGTACGCCGATTAAGGAAAAATCGACCTTACTATCCCCAAGCGTGTAACAAACATCATTACCAACCGCGCCGTCTAACACCCACAGAAAAAATAGAGGGAGATTAAGTATCCGCTGTGCGCCTTATAACCCTGCCATGTACTGCCAGTTATGCTTTTATTTCTTCCCGAACCTCGGGTTGGACTAATTCCCGTCTTTCGAATATCGTGTGGAAGTTTTGCTGCTTGATGAACCATGCATTGACCGTCTTCCACTCCTGGCTTGGGTCCTTGAATTTAAGCTGTGAAAAAGAAGAGTAAGCACGAGCAATGAGGGGGGTAAGGTAGGCGAGGCAGGGGAGAGACAGGGGAAGCTAGGAACGCCACAACTTACATTATATCTTCTCAGCAAACTAGGCACGAGCTTGTACATTTCCAAGAGACTTATGTTCTTGCCGATGCATGTCCGAGGGCCCATACCGAACTGGAACATGTGTCCGTTCATTTCACGGATACGACGTTCCCTTTCCCCTCGTTGGGGTTCGGGGAGTGACGGGTCCACGAGCCACCTCTCAGGCCTATAGACGTCAACGTCGGCACCGAAAATCTCAGGTCGACGATGTATAAGCCACGCGGAGCAGCCGACGATGGTTCCGCCCTTGACGTAGTGGCCGGCAATCTCTACGCCAGGCTCCGGCACGATACGCTCGAGCAGCAAGCCGGCAGCCGGATGCATGCGGAAGGCTTCCTTGACGCAGGCGTCGAGGTAGGGCAAACGTTGGCTTTCAGACCACGTGACAACGCCGAGGTCATTGTCGGCGAAGTGACCGGCCCTTGCGGCGTCGTCGAGCTCGGCGCGTAGACTGTCGAGCACCTGAGGATTGCGTAGTAAATTGTAGAATAAAGCTGACAGCGATATGGCCGTTGTCTCCGAACCGGCAAACGCCATCGATACGGCCATGGCGAGCACTAATTTATCGTTCATGAAGTCAGGCCGGGCGTCGCGTGCTGCCAGAAACTTGGACAGCAAGTCCGGCGAAGATGCCGTCGACTTCACTGTGTCCGTAATGGGAAGTAAAGGCTTGGATGGGTCGTCCCCGGGCAGCGGCAACGCAGTTACACCCAGACGCTCAGACATACGGGCGCGGGCGAACAGCACGATGGGGTTTGTCGCGTCCAAAATACCCCACTCCGAGAGCTTGAGGTAAATGGGATTCTTCAAGAATACACGGTCTAGCCAGGGAATTTGTCCGATCTGGAACAAGTTATCAGTTCGATTGTCCGTAGTGGTATGGCCACTGGACTGGATCAAAAGTATAGGGCCAATGACACCATTTGAACTTACAGGGGCGACGTATAGAAACAACTTTTCGAGATATTTGACGATGCCGTCCACATCCTCATTCCTCTCCAAGAACCCGTGCCGTTTGCTGTAAGTGACTTCGCCAATGACATCAAACGCGTAAAACTGCATCCACCTGACAAAATCGCAGCCTTCCGGATTATTAACGTAGAAACGCTCCGTCTGGTCGAAGAAGAGCTTGATGGTATTATTCACGAACGGCTCGTACTGCACCAGCGCGGACATGGAGAAAGCCGAGTTGACGCATCGCCGGAGCTGCGCGTGGAACGTATTATCTGTCGTACTGAACAGTGTTGCGAGGCCACGGCCTTTTGAGACTCCCTGCTGCACGACGTAGAAATCCGACTAGATAGGCCGGGTTCATTGTAAGCTGGGTTCCCATACTATTCAAAGAAGGATGTTGACTAACCTTGACGAACCCCTTGTTGAGTCCATATATCGTCTTCAAAGCCGCGGGGTCTGCGAAGGAGAGAGTGTTTGGTCCTAATCGCACCACGTCGCCGTACTTGGCGTGCAGTTGGCGATGCGTCACCTCAGATCTCCGACCCCAGACTTCAAAAAACCGCCAGAGATCCGTCAGAGAAGCCAGAAAGGGGCCGGGATACTTGTTGAGCCCATTGTAATAGCGATTGCGTACTAGCCATACCCCGATTGTTAATACAGCCACCGGCGCCCAGTACTGCGCTAAGAAGCCGAGAACCATGGAACCCAAGGCTCCCATCTTCCCAAGTACGTGCTATTAGTCGGCGAAACGTCGTTCGATTCTCGGTCACTAGATGTGGTTCTGTGTGCGGCCAGGTCCTTGACGTAAGAAATTCGAAGAGTACACCCAAAGCTTTGAAATTACCTCGCCGACGGAATAACAGGACCGAGAGCTCGTTATAGATATATAGTCATAGGTTATCCACCAACGATGTCCATAGGCGAAGTGGGCAAAAGGAACAAATGGGTCCTAGAGTCCCCGACTCCCCCGGCTTGTGGCGGTCGGCAAGGCTGTTTGGGGTTGTTCTTAGTTTTAGGGCGAGATATTCCAAGACCACTAGAGGCTTCCTTCAGCTGCGTAGTATACGTTTCGTTACGAAAGGTCGTGTGTACTGTGTACTGTGTGCCGGATACACGTAGCTAATTGGTAAATGCAAACCCCTTCGAGTTAATTCTTGTCTTACCTATCATTCAGCTTATCCATGGGAGGGGTTCTCTCTCCGGTAGTCTGATAGGCAACATAAAAACTAGGAGGGGCATATGCATATCAACAACAGCAGGCATTAAATCCACGGGTACGTTGTAGGAAAAATGGCACAGCCAGCCTTCTCTCCATATCCATTGGTACGGGTGGTGTGTGGCATACAACGCGGAGAGCTTATGCTGGGAACCCGATAATCTTCCTCGTGCCGGCATGTGGTACGTGGACCATCAAGACCAGCCGTGGGGTGTACGGTGACCCCTGAACACGGCAACGGACCATGGGAAGCAGCAACAACCGCGCGGATGAATCTGCATCCTCGAAGCACGAGATTTGCCGATAGACGCAAGGTAGCATGGCCACATGGTATCTCTGTGGAACCTAGCCCCTCTCTCTAGCCGCCATTATATTAACTGACTATCGATTGAGGTCAAGTCTCGAGCGCCTTCTCGCCCATAATCCCTTGCTGACTCCTTTGAAATGCGGGATCTTGGCTTACCATCTCGTGCCAAGTTCCCCTCACATTTTGCATGGCGAACTTAGCTCGGACGCCCCGAGACTGGGCGGGACAAGGCGGGTTCATTCACGGCTGTCTATTCCCACAGTTATGAGGCGTTGGAGTGAAACGGCCTCGGGTGGTTGAGCCATTTGACCCGGTATGGTGACGGGAATACCTGCGAGATGGCGATCTTGATTGCCTTGGCAATGGCCGGTGGATTTTGGGGAGATGGGGCTGAGTAACGAGGTTGTTAGTAGAGATTCGGCAGATGTGAGACCCATCTAATCGTCCCTGGAACGTTGCTTCATTGGCCAGGAAGAACAAATGCTATGACACTACGCATTTTAGTGGCTTCTGAGCTTCAAAGGTCCACTACAACCCCAGCACCTGGCTCATGAATGGTGGTGCTGTCAGGGACAAGTTCTACCGACTTGGGATTCTGATTATCGGGCAGTTTTCGGGATATCATTGCTACACTGCTACTCGTAACTTCCTTACCTGATCTGCAAAACATACGCACTTCGGTATGTATTACAATTACACCTACATTACAAGTAGATACCTACCGAGTATGTACTACGGACTTCAATCAGAAGGGCGACATAGCGAAGTGACGGTGACAGTGATGGAGAGACTCTAAAACCCTTTACTGGTACAAGGGTTGAAAACCACAACCACCCCATGGTCGATAACAATACTCGTACGTGTAACGAGGTTTCTACCGGTTGCTCCCCGTTATCTCGTGCAAATAGAGAGCCACACACATTAGGCCACTGTATGTATCTCTGTCGCCGCAATATCTACCGTCGCAGGAGAGATACCGCACCATCCCTACCCAGGTTGATTTTGCTGTGACCAGGGGTTCTGTAAGTGGAGTATCACGATGATAATACCAACGTAAGGTAAGCAACGTCAGATAGGTCACTGATGACATTTTCGAAAGGCAAGATGGGATGTAGTTTCCTACACAGTCCCCTTGTTACCTGCATGGTCTGTATAGCTAGTAGAAAATAAAAATGGAGGGAAGGAACAATAGAAGGCAAGTGCCGAACCTCATGAGTAACACGACAGCATAGGAAATGTGGCGTGTGACTTGGTTTCGCCTATGGTTTTCCAAGCTCGGTTGCGGTTGCATGTCTTGTTGCACCTATTTGACTTGCCGACATTGAAAGGCGGGTTGGGGGAATTTCGGCAGATATTGCCGATCCGTTGCTTCTAAGTTCTGCCTCCTTATTAACCAAAACCAATCTATCTCCTCATACGTTCCTCTCACTTTCTTTTCTTCCCTCCCAACATCCAAGCCTATGCCTTTTCTTCTTTTGCTTCTTTTCATCAATATTTCGCTACTTCGTGGTCATCGCTAACGTTACCATTGCCACTGCTGCTACGGCATTTAATCGTGCCTTCCAACAAAACTGCCTAATACATACCTTCTCGTACTGCCTTGTCCAGTAATTTTTCACCGTTAGAAGCAAAGAAGGTAGTAACGCCGACAACAAGGCATGCGTATTATCATAGTGGGTAGTACCTTAGGTTAGAACATACATACTGCTGCGAGAGAAGCTAGGTAGTTATAACGCTTGTAAAATCTATAATGCTTATAGACTTTTTAGTATTAGTAAAATTTATAAGCGTTATAAATTTTATAAGCGTTATAAGCTAAGGTTTTTTAAACAAGCGCTATATTTTTAGCGCTTAGCTTACTATAATTATAGCGCTTGCTTTATAGTTTACTTTTTAGTTTAATTAATTTACTATTTTATTTTTAAAACAAAATACTTTGCT